ATCTCTCTGTTCGTGTGTCTTCCAGGACTTCATCTGAGAGGCAGCAGGCAAGTTTTTTGTCCTCCTCCTCCTTTGCTTTTGATGCTTGCTGGGCTCTGCTCACCATCTCCTATTGCACTGCTCGATGCCCTGGCCCTGAGCGCGCTGACTTGATGCCACGGCAGGATGGACCAGGGAGCCGCTCTGAGCTTGGGGACCCATCGTCGCAAGGAGCAGCACCTCGGGGTGCCCCTGGGCAGCAGCACTTTGGGGCCGGTAGCCGTGCAGCTCACTTGCCCTCGCAGAAAGGTTTTGAAGCACGTGAGCTTGGCCGTGCCTGTGCTCCCCTGCTGACGACAGAATTTCAGCCTGCTCTAAAGAGGAAGAACTGCCCTTGTCTCCCGTGCACTTGTTGAAGTTGGTTATTGGCAGAGAGTGAGGCAGAGGAGGGGGTGGTTCGTGTATCCCTCTGTCCTCTCAGTGCCTATCCAGGCTCTTCTAGACATTTATGGTGCGATTGCTCTGGTTATTTAATGTAGTTTGCTGGGCAGCAAATGAATCCTCTTGTATGGAGATTAGATTTTTCTTCAAAATCCAAATGTAAATCAAAAGCCGAGCTACCAATGAGCAGAAAATGTTGAAAGTACTCAAAATCCTGATGACTCCACAGAGATCACAGATATCCTGCATAACGCAGACCGTAAACCAGGGAATTTTGCATCAAGCTCTGTAACCTTTTAAGCCTTTTAGGGGACAGCTGTCTTTTGGTAGGGTGAAACTGCCTTTTGTGAAGGGTTAAAGGAGGTAATATTTTCAAAAGCATAGAACATGGCCCTTAAATGTTTTTCCTGTTTCTATTCAGATGATGTTTTACCTTTCCCTAACGTATGGAACAGGCTCTTCTCTTTGGGTCAAAAGCAAAAAGCTGCCTTACCAGTCTTCTGTAGTATATTAGTTTGTATCTAGTCATCATGATTTAGCTGGCTAGCGAATACGTAATCGGAAAACGTTCCCCATTCGAGCAGAACTGCAGTTCAAGTCCTAGTCCACCAAATCAGAATATACTTGCAAAGATAATGAGAAGAAAATATATGCTGCTGGTCTATCATGAGTGGTAACGATTCCCAATGTTTTGCAGTTTCAGTTTTTCCTTAGTCTTAGGTGCTTTGGCAACGAAAAGGGACTTCTGATCTGTGTGGGTTTTTGCCGATAGGCACACTGATGCGGACCACGTGAATTTTGTGACTGCGAGGAGGGAGCCTGTGAAGGCCCTGGTCTTTCAGCCCCGCAGTTGCGTTGGCCTCTGCACAAGCAAGCATGAAAGTGGGCTGCAGTGGGAGGCTCCTTAGTGCCTTGGCAGCTCCTGCAGGAGCTGAGTTAGCCCAGCCTTGATGTCTCCGTAAACTTGGGCCTGATGGTTTTGTGTGGAGTGGGGTGGGATGAGAGGGAGCAGTCTGGCTCGGATACTGGGCTGCTTCCAATTGTTTCTCGCAGAAGGAAGCTTTGATGCTCTTTTACATGCTTGATGCTTTTTCTGTGTTAGCTGTTTTGGGAAGGCTTTTCCTTGGGGCAGGGTGTACAGTTCTGATGAGGGGAGAAAAGGAGGATGTTCAAGAAAGATTAACAGGAGCACTTGAGTGCGAAGGCTACTAAGGCTTTTGGGGAACCTATTTCATAGCAGAACAAAAAACATGATGTTTTAGAGTGGAGGAAAAAAAGAAGGTGGAGAGAAAATTTACAAAGGGATGGAAATAAAGGTATGAAAGAACAATTTGAATTAAAGGAAGGTGTTGGCCCCACCATAAACTGGCTGTGAATGTGTTTTGAGGCCGGAGAATTGAAGATTATTTTTGAAGAGCTGCTTTTAACATGGGAGTCTGCCGCATAATCCCAGTCACATGCAGCACAGAGTGGTTTGTCATAGGAAGAGCCTGAATTTTTGCTGGAGTCCTGGTCCCACATTCCCTAATTGGCACAGTGAAGAAAGGCTCTGGGCTACTTTTGTTGTGTTGAGTGTCTGTGTGCTTGGGCTCTCTGCTTTCCCTTGGGCTGAGCTGTGAGGCAGAGGCCTTGACTCATTCAGGCCCAAAATGCTAATGCTGCCCTTTCTCAGAAATGCCAGGAAAGAGCCTTTGCTTCTGAAATAGAAGGGCAGATGGGTAGAAAATATCTGTGTGCGTGTTTAGGAGGCGCATTTTGAGAGAAAAAATAAATCTCTTCAGGATGAGATCAGAACAGGGGTTAAGATAACCTGCTGCCTAAAGGAGTCCCCAGGCAAGAGGCAAATCGTTCGGTCCATTTTATGGTCCATCTTCAGCTCCGTCACAAGTTGAGCAAAACTGCTGCTTAACTTCAAGTTATGTGCTACTATGTAGGACTCTCTTTCCAAAAAGCAAATTCCAGGCAGAGTCAAACTCTACCTTTCTGCTGAGCTGAGTTGCCAGGCCGTGTGGAGATGGAGGGGACCTTGCTCCTGAGGAGTTTGTCCTGCCCTGGAACAAGCATCTCCTCCAGCCTCACGGTGCACTAACACAGCGAGGGCCTGGCTTCCCCAGCCCTGCATCTGCAGGGACGGGGCACTGGGGACAGCCTGAAACAGGCCAAAGCCCTTCCACTGAAGTTTTGGAGTAGAAAAGCAACGATTGCATCCGAGGAAACAAAGCCTCAGACGTGCGTCAAGGAGATTTTAAACAGCTTCACCTTGTTCAGTGAAGATTTTGGAAGGGGAAAGGAGGGTTAAAGGATCTGCCAGCTGTGTTGGACTCTGTAGCTGTTTTACAGTTGTCTTGTAGTTATCTTGCACTGTACACCTATTGCCACCAATTGACCAAGGCACAAAGCCCGTAGTGCCTCCAGACCCAGTTGCCTCTGCCTTTTATTTCAGGGGAGAGAAGGTGAAAGTTAATAGTCCAACCGAATGACTTTTAAATGTAAAAGGGAAGGCCAAGAAGAGCGATAACATAGGAAACAATTAAACAGAAGGAGAGCAGCAGCAGCATTTGGGAGAGACCAGGGTGGGCAGTGCCAAGAATTTATTAAAATCACATGCTTGATAGACAGATGGCTGTTACAGATCTGTGCCTACTTCCTAAGTTAGGTAAGAAAAGGTATCTAGTTTTCTTGTGGCTTTGTTTTTTGAATGCCTGTTTCCTGTTGTTAATTTTGTCCAACTTCCAGCTTTCAGTAGTGTTCTGTGCTACTGTAAATATTTATTTTTTTGAGAATTCAGTCCCTACAGTCTTTGGAAGTCTTATATGCATGAAACTATATATATTTTTAGATGCTTGATTCATCTTTCTTGAGCCCTGTGAGTTAAATCATCCATATGAGTCAACTTAGATGATTCTAGATGATATATTTGGTGTCTAAATGACAGAAGGATGTAAAACTAAGCAAAGTACTCTAGATGTTACAGCAGAGCCAGCAGAAGAGCTCTCTGCATTTACTGCAGAATATCTTCTCTGCGTTTACTGCAGAATATCTTCTCTGCCTCTTCAGTCACATTTCGAACATTCTCCTACCCTTTCTATATAAGCTTATGTGAATTTACGGTGAGTGCTTTCTGACTACTTCTAGTTGTGCTCTTTGTTAGAGTCTTCAGGGTTTCTGTAGTGCAATAAAATATCAGTTATAAAACTGAAAATGCATTTCAGTTCAGACTCCCTGGTTTAGTTTTTTTCCAAATCTAACTTACTTAGTATTTGGCTTGTTTGTAACTGAGGGAGATGATTAACACAGGGTGCTGCAACTCTTTGTGTCCCATTGCCTGGCAGGTCCCAACTCAGTAGTGGGTCATGTCCATAGCTTTAAGCAAGGTTCTCTGTCCCTTCCCAGATTGCTGTCAGCTATGTGCATGCAAAACCAGCATCTAAAAGGCTCGTGGGGAGATACCCGCCAGAAATGGTTCCTCTCCATGGAGCTGCTGAGAGGCAGCTCTGTGGCAGAAGACAAGCAGGACTGCAGCTGGGGAGGCTTTCCAAGGCCCCCTGGTCCTGGGAGCGTACAAGGATGTCTTGTATCTCCAGAGTGATACAAGACACTGCTCAAAACAAACACATCCATCTTTATTACTAAAGCTTGTATTAGCAGGGAGGATTTTGGTGTGGATTCTGTGCCTTTAAACAGTTTCTGTGCTGTCCCAAATGACTGTGAAGCTTGCCTTTAGTCAGTAATTAAAAATGTCTCAGCTGGGAAGTCCTAAGCTCTTGTATGCTGCTTGAGCTTCTCCCTGCCTGAGGCTGGACTGTCAAAAAAAAAAAAAAAAATCTTTTCTGCAGTTGCTGCAGTAGTAACTTTTTCCTTACAGAAAGGGAACA